GAACTGTATGGCAGTGCCAGGACTGCCAGGTCCACAGGTACCACTGTATATCTCACTGGGACTAAAAGAGGACTGAGCAGAGATCTTCTGAGGAGCCTCCTGTAGTACAGGAGATGAGACATGACTTCTGTTGGTAGTGCTGATGTCAGTCTCACTATTAAAAATAGCATACAATAGGAACACACTTCTGAAGTGATTGGGAGGATGAAGTGGCTCTATTCGGGGACATCTAGAAGGTTAGAGGTAAATGGATAGGGTTAGAGCAAGCAGGGTAATAAGAGAGCCAGGGGAAAGATACAGGCAGGCAAAAGTCAGACATTGGGATTGTGTTTAGGGAATAATAAGGGGCTGCTTTTGCCCAGGGCAGTGGGATCATGTGTGCAGATGAGACAAAGACAGTGTCATGTTGAAGGGAATTGAAGGAAGCGGAGAGGGGTGTTTGAACTTGCAGTTGACACAATTCAGGGAATCCGGGGGCTAATAGCAAGGAATTAAAGGGAGGGAAGCAGATTTTTGAATCTCTTTGCAGTTAGCTTCAACAGGATGTGGGAATGTGAGGGTGGGAAATGTTGTCAGGAGAGCTGTGGAGAAATTAAAATAGAAGGACCATGTAGAGAGGAGCAGGACTTCTTTTAGAGTGGTGATCTTACTGAGAGATGACATTTGAATGGAATGTCAATGACAGACAATGTCCTAGGAGAAGGCAGAAGGAGTGGCTGCCACAGAAAGCCTACCTAAGCCAGGAGGGACTTGGCAAGGTATGTTCCAATAGCACCAAGGACATCAGGCTGCAATAGACTCTAGAGAATGGTGGATATACTCTCAGGAGAGGAGGCTGGAGAGAGGTGGCCAGATCCAGGGCCTCAGGTTCTTGGGAAAGGATTTGAATTATATTCAGAATACATTTGACAACCTTTGGAGGGCTTTAAAGGACAGAGTCTATTTAACTGTTTCAAAAAAGGTGGTTCTGGTTGCTCTGTGCAGAATGGATTTTAGGAAGGTACCTTAGTCTGGTAGGCTGCTATAACAAAATACAATAGACTGGGTAATTTATAAAGAATATAAATTTATTTCTCACAGTTCTAGAGACTGGAAGCACAAGGTCAAGGCATAGGGTAATTCGTGTCTTGTGATGGCAGCTTCCTGGTTTCTATATGGCGCCTTCAAGCTGTGGCCTAATGTGGCAGTAGGGCAAGCCAACTTTCTGGGGTCTCTTTTATAAGGGCAGTAATCCAAACTTGAGGGTGCTGTCCTTATGACTGAATTAGTGGTGAGGAGGTTTCAACATAAAAATTATAAGGGGACACAGACATTCAGACCACAGCAGGAGATGAGAGTGATATGGGGGACAACAGGTAAAAAGGTCATTGTGAAAGTTCAAGTGAGATGAAGTATTGAGAAATTGATGACATTTCATAATGCCTGATTAGTTCCAGTTAATATGAGATGTGACAGAAAATACTAACTTAGTAAAAAATTTGAGTTAAGTAGACTTTGATGTGTAACCAAAATGTGATAGAATGTTGGCTGATTTCTGCATACTCAAGATTACACAATGTGAAGCAATTTCCTGAAGATTTTTTGTCTTGTGTAATATATTTATATTTCAGCTTAATCTCTTTGAACCTCACTTTTCCCATCTGTAAAATAATGATCATAGCCATGTGTTGCTGGGTTGTTTTAAGAAGTAAATGGCACAGAGCTTGGCACAGAGAAGAAGTTTGGCAAAAGAATTCCCTCTGTTAGAACCATGTCTGAGGAAATACCTCTATAAAAACTTTTGCTTTTGTTGTTAGTGTGGTACTTGGCTCAAATAAAATTATTTCATTTTCCAACCTCTTATATTAAGAAAAAAAATTGACCATTCTGATGCCCATTCTTAGTACTATCTCCTAGCATTTCTGTTTTATTCTAACCCATTAGTCATCTTTTGACGGCATGGGAGCTAACTTCCAAGGAAATTCATTGAAATGGTCAAGATCACTAAGGAAGTCTTTGTTAAAGGTAGAACTAGTGGTTAAAAAAAGATATAGCTCAATGGTGTATTGTCTGTGTTTCAGAACTTGAATCAACTAATCAGAGATTGGAATCATGCACTGGCTACCATGACTGTTCCAGAGATTTGGGTCTCCCTGGTTCTGTGTTATAGTGATATGTGCTCTCTCTTGTTTCTTGCCTCTTGGTTTTGAATAGTTGCTAAGTTCTACTGTCATGTGTCAGGACCTGTTTGTTTCTAAAGGCTGACAGCTTTCAGATAGAGCTAGGAGACTAGGTCTGAGCACTGCAAGAGTTGTATGTGTCTTCCTCCTATGGATTAGTTGAAAGAGACAACTTGTGGGGAAAACAAATGAACTTTCCAGTAGTTTAATTTTACTTTTCAGCGTATTTCTCTTTTTCACCATTTTTCTTTTAGAATTTTAAATGATTGTACTAAATGCCAAAAACATTGTAGTCCTACTGTTTTAAACCTAATTTGATTTGTAATCAAGTTCTGAGCTCTTTTCCTTCTTAAATAAGGGATATTAAAAAAGTTTAATAACACCATCTGTACTGAGCATAACATGCTATTCTAGCAGGTTTTAATAATTATCTATAAGGTATCAACACCTTGTGTATTTTCTTATAATCAAATTGTCAGGTATGTTTTTCTTTTCTCTTGGAAAAAATGCTGGGCTCCGTGATTCTTCTGCCTCAGCCTTCCAAAGTGCTAGGATTACAGGCATGAGCAACCACACCTGGCCCTTGAAGCACTTTTATAATCTGCATTTTAAAGTTGTGCTAGGAAATATCTGATTCATATTATACATTGAAAACGTTCTAAACTTAATTTTAAAAATGCTAGATGCCAAAGATCAGAAAATCTTAAAACAACCGCTTCCGTGTCACCTTATTGCTAACATTGACAAATTCTCATAGATAACTTCATTTGACTTTCACTTCAAGTCAAGTAGTAAATGTGACTGAACTTTCAATGTTTTAATTTTTAAAAAGTATTTTAAGGATTTGTCTGTTTTTATCTTTTTTATATACTTCATTCTCAGATGATTCTGAAATTATTTCCTTGGTACTCACATGTGACTCAAGTTTGAGATATGGAAATAGTTACTGGGATGGTGTGTGTGTATGTGTAATGTGCCTTTTGTGAACCATGAAATAACCAGGCAATGTGATCTTGGATAGCAGTCTTTACCAGAAATAGTGGTTTTATTATTCTTCCTCTAAAGAGTTCAACAGATCTAGACCTGACAGTTTTCTGTCTTAGGTGTTTTTTTATATAATTCAAGTGAAATTGCAGATTTCTGTTTGTTTGAGCAGTATGGCTAGAGAGGGCATTTTCTTTTTCAGAAAGATGACCATTATATCTTACAATGTAAAATTCACATTACTTCTTCCTTTTTGGTTTTCTTGGCAAAGACATTTATAGGCTGATATTTTTCTCTAGTATCTTACTCTTTATATTGTCTAATTTTATTGTGCTTTTTATTTTACTTGAAATTAGAGACATATACCTTTCCAAAACAGCGTTATGCTGAATAAATTTTTGTCTTTGGAGGTGGCATACATAGCTTATCTAGGAGAAAATATGCAAAGATGGCTTTTAAAGCAAATAATTCTGACCCAGTTTCTGAAATCTAAGTAACAAGACAAAATATACCCAGAGTCCACTCATGAAACTGAAGTAACATACATGGACTGTGCAGGTGTGAATGAAATGCTAACATAGCGGCATGAATTTTTTTAAAATTAATTTGTAATCACACAAGTAACATATCTGTTCATTCTTGTTTAAACAAAAAATATAAATGAGACAAATTATCTATCACTCCTCGGAAGGCATGCTCATCCTGCATAAAAAGAAAGCTATATACCCTATGATTATAGAGTGATTTAACATTCAGTATTCTAAGAGGACGGTCTCTCCCCTGTTTCTGTATTTTCCTTGTTTAACTCAGGTTGTCCCAGATCAAGGAAAACCTGTATCCCCTAAAATTGAAGAAGAGGAGACCCACAGGACTATGACTCTGACCTGTGGTAGAACAAGGGAGAGGTGGAGGGGGAAGGAATGTTCTTGTCTGATAGTGCACTAAGGTTTTCTTTAGTGAAGTCAGTTTGCACTAATTTATGCAGAATTTAATAATAGAAGTTATCAAACTCAAAATGCAATATGCGTGTGCATATATATGTATATATATCTCTATAGATTATAATATGCATATATATCAAATAACTTCAATATCTATGTATATATCAATAATTTTCATTAGAACCACTAATTAAAACTATTTCTAATTTTTACTCACCTACATACTATACATTCAATAACTACCATTTGTGCCTTTTATATGGTAGGAATTTTCCATACATTACTTCTAATGTTACTATCCCTGTTTTACTGATTAGGAAATTAAAATTCTGAGAAGTAGTCTATCCCATGGCCACATAGTAATCAGGGAGTGGGATGGGAGTTGAGTGCTGTCCTTCAGATAGACTCTTTTCTTCTCACATGTTGCCTCAGATAATCAGTTTCTAGGAAGTATGAATAAAATTGTTTAATGTCTTTGACTCATTAAATGGCATAAAAGTTTTAAGTTCTTATTCTAATGTCATTCTGATTTTCTAAAGATCTTCCTTCTTATGACAGAAAAGATATTTTCTAAATGTTTAACCACAGATACTGAGTAGGCTTTGACCAATCAGAATGGGCTCCTCTTGTACATCAGTTGAATATCCTTTCAGGTTTAAGGTCTTATGAAACCTAATTAATAGCAATACAGAGCAATTTAAACTTTTTTGGTCAGTTAATTTTTTTTTTTTTAAACCCAGCGCTATTCTGAACATCCTTGTCTCAATCTGTTATTACTTACAGTTACAACATTCTGGTTTCATGCTCTCAAATCGGTTTTTGGGTTTTTGTTTTTGGTTGGGTCATTAAAACTTAAAATAAATGAACCTGTGGACTTTCTTGACTGAGAATCTGCCCTGTTTTTCCCTTTTTCTAGGTCTATTATTAGCAGAAGATTTTTCTGCATAGTTGGCACGCTGTACCTGTATCGGTGTATTACAATGTATGTAACTACACTCCCAGTACCTGGTATGCATTTCAACTGTTCTCCGAAGGTAAACTATTTCTCACTGCAATTTCCCTTTTTGTTTGTTTCTCGTCTTACCCTGGGGTCCTTTCACTACTGCCTAAGCTGGACGTTTCTTCAGAATACTGTTGAGTCCTTCCTCCTTCATTTGGGAATGGTACTAAGCAGTATGGCTAGGCAGCCCCACCCTTCTCAGAATTTCCACGCCCTGCCAATGCCTCCCAGCTGGGGAAGTATGTGGTCTAGTTAGCGTGTTGCAAGCAGTTAAGCTTGTGTGTGGGTGTAGCTCTTTGGTTTCCTGCCAAACTTTTAAAATAGCATTTGTTTCCTTGACACATATCCAGAAGCTTTTATATGCTGTCTCCCTCTCTTAGAGGGAAAGCTCAATTTCAAATGATATTTATTCCATTTTCCTTCTTTCTATTAATCCCGATAGCCGAGCAAGCAAGAGAAAGTATTCCTATCCCTTTGCAATCCTCCACGAACCTAAATAAGATCACTGTTCTCTGGAGTTACATATTGCCTTATTGACTTTAGAGTCTCTAGTAGCATAAAAGTCATCTTAAAAGTAAACTTTATTCTCCTCTTATTTTCTCTACCTTTCCATCTGATTCACATAACATTCTTCACCCTCTAACTTTTACCCTGGAATAATTTTTAACCAGGGAGGTTATTGAAATTTTATGAAATAATTAGGGTATTTAATTTTTAAAAATTGTTTATGTGCATTAAAGCTCTTTAATGCAGTGGGAAATAGAAGAGGCTACTTTTTCTCTTTGATTTTGGTGGGAAAAAAATATGGAATCCTATTGTGTGTTTGAGATCATCTCTTTGTGCTAGTGAAACAGCCAGTACTTGCGGTCTCACTCCTTGGTACTTTTGTTCCTTCCAACAGAGAGATTCTCTCTGGATAGAGATAGAACCTGTGTATATAGGGCCCAAAAACTCACTCTGGATTTTTGAAGTGGTCGCTCTATCATATGAAACTTTGGAACCGTTTAGTTTTGTATGTCTGCTGTGGTCCCCCTTCCCTCCAGATTTTGCGTATGCCCTCAGAGGTGGTTCGTTTCTTACTTAACTGTTTTATTTATTTTATTTTTTTTTTTTTGCTGCACACACCTTTCTTAACTCTGGAAAAGCTGTTGTACAGAATGAATGTTCCTAACATTCCGCTCCTCTCTATCAACCTCCTGGCACTCTCCTTCTTGCAGTTTCTTCAGTCCTTTCAAAGGAGCCACCCTCACATCTGTTTCATCCCCTATGAAAGTTCTCAGGCACTTACCTGCAGCTCCTGGGTTATAGGGAATATCTTGGTGTCATTGAGAATCCAGAGATGTGGACTCTTACTGGGAGGCTAGCTTGATAAGCAGCAAGTTTCCAGTAATAAACGGACAGTTTAGGATATATACCTATGTTTAGTTCAACTCCTTACAAAGTTTGTGCATTGGGAAATTTTGCTACCAAGGGGTAGGTAGATGTGGATTTCAGCCAAGCACATGTTGCAGATGGATCCAATATTGAGGGGGCTGTCCTGTGTAGCCTTCTCCCTACTCTGGTTCTAGCCTCGAGAACTTCTGCTGTACCACCTAGTTGCTGGCAAGCCCAGCCATGGTGAGCCATTGAACACTTACAGATTCAACTTACGTCATCATCGTATCTAACTGAGATCTTGTGGCTAAGAATAGCTTGTGGATTTTCTTAGTAAAGGCAGAGGTAGCAGAAGGAACTGTGCACAAAAACCAAACTCAAACATGTTGCTCATTTACTGTGTTGCCAGAAATTCCTACTAGGGCCATTATTCTGTGATGATCTTCTGGAAACTAGACTCTTGAACATATTAGCACACCTTAGCAAAAGTATTAGTTAAGCTTTACTAAATGTAATATTTTTTTTGCAGAGTAGTACTCTTGGAAGAAATAATTCAGAATATAGTCTTTTATTCTGAAAATTTTCAAATGTATCGCAACTAGTATAAGGAGTCCATTCCCGTATACCCAACACCCACATTCAGTAGTTATCAAGATGTGCTACATGTTTCATCTATCTCTTTTTTTCTTCTTCTTCTTCTTGAAGTGTTTTAAAGCAGATCACAGGTAATGTCCTTTCATTGCGACATACTTTAGTATGCACCTAAAAAACAGTGGACTTTTTCTTGCTCACCCATAATGCTGTAAGTATTCAACAGAGTGGAGAGTAATTCTTTGATGCTGGCAATTACCAGATCATAGACTATCGTGATTGTCTTAAAATATATTCTTTTACAGCTGGTTTGTATAAATTAGGATCCAAAGTATTTACATTACATTTGCTCATTCTGTCTCTTAAGTTTTTAATTCTAAAGCTGTCCTTTATCCCTGTTTTCCTCCTTGCCAGTAGCTTGTAGAGATCAGATTATTCGTCCTGTGTATAGAATATCCCACATTCTGTATTTATTTGTTTGTTTCTCTGTGGTGTTGGTTAGCTTGTTTCTCTGTCCTCCCTATTTCCTCTAAACAGAAAGTTGACTCTAGAGACTTAATTAAATTCAATTTTAACTTTTTTTGGCAAGAACACCTCCCGAGTAGAATAGAAAGAGATCTGATGTTGGAAAAGGCCTTGGAGGCTTGATGCTGCCCACCGAATGGCAGATCAAGCTTGACATTGAACGGTCAAGCAAGAGCTAGAATGCTGCACTGAGGACCAGAATTAGAAGGAAGAGAAAGTTGACGCTAGAGGGAGACCTCAGAGAACAGCTTTACCTACTTTAATGCCATATCCGGGGCTAAGGAAATCAGAATTGAGAGGAACCTCATTAATAGTCACTGGGTCCAAAGTTCTATTTGATGTGTGAACATTATCACCACCATCTGAACCATTGTTCAGAGAGGGAACTTATTACCCCTGTAAAAATACAAACTTACCTGATAGTAGCAAGAACACTGAGGTCAGGGTCTTGACAGCCTTATACAACTACTTACTAGCTGTATGGCAGATGCATTGGGCAGGTCATTTAATTTCTCAGAGACTAAATTCCTTTATTGGCAAAACAGAGCTAATGACACTTTTAGCATCTGTTTAGCATTGTAGGCATGATGGGAGACAGTGTATAGGGGTTCTGTCAGAGAAAAGTGCTCTACAGAAAGAGGCCTTGACATTGTCATTATTCTTCCACCCTAGACTCTTATTCATGCTAGAGTACCAGGGAAGGGCAAGGTAGATAGTCTCTGCCTTTGTGGAAAGCACCTTAAAATCAGCTGGCCCAAACTTGTGCCTTATGTAGTAAATGTATAAAATGCTGTAATAAGGACCTAAAGTTAAGCAGGTGGCCCCAAAGATGGGCAGAAAGAAACAGATTTGAGCAATAATTAAGAGGCCAACTTGGTGCAATTTTACAATAGATTTCATGTAGGAAATGAGGATAGAAGAAAAGGATTTCAAAGACTGAATTTTGGCACTGGGCTAATTACAAGTTAGCAAGAAAAAGAGAGTTAATGCCTTTGGATTAAACACATAAAGTTTAAGTTACCTGTGAGTTATCTAAGTGGTGGCATCCAAGACAGTTAGCAATATAAGTCTAAAGTTGAAGGAAACATCAGGACTAGAAAATAAATATTTTTGAATCATCATATTCTGGATGGTGATTAAAGTTGTGGGTATGGATAAAAGGGTCACGAGACAGGACATAGAAAACACAATGCTTCCAGAATTGGATATTGATTTGAAATACCAATTAAGGCCCGTTAGTTGATGGATACTCTAACAGTTAATCATCATTAAACTATAAGGGAGGAAAGTTGAGCTTTAGAATACAGCTTCCTGTTTGACACAGTTATGTGAACTTAAACTTGGTTCCACCATCCCATTAAAGCCCATAATTATTGTACCTAATACATCCCTTAATGCCAATACTCAAAATGCACAGCTTCTAAGAAAAATGTTCTAACAAGTATATGATAGGAATTATGAAAATTGATCTTATTGATTATTCATTTGATGACAGTGTCCTCTTCACAAAATGTAACAGCTTGGAGAGAAAATCATTCTGGAAGGCGATCAGGCTGGGGAGGAAATGCCTCCCATAAATGTTACTGCAACAATGATAAGCCACTGGGAAAAGGAAGTGGGAAAAAAAAGTAGGTGTGTTCAGTTTCTAGATTACAAATTTCTGGGAAGCACTTGTCCATATCCCAGGGAATACACGTGCAAGGCTTACACTGGAGGTTGCCAAGTTTTTGATACTTTGATCAGCTCATGTTACTCTCAAAGCTTTTCTCTAAGGAGCATGTGTTCTGTTCAGAAAACAACCTCTTCTCATCTTGTTACAACTGTTTATTATTCTGGTTTTTTTTAAAGAGCAGACATTTTTTGAGAATTATTTGGTGTTCCGAGCTTCTTGTTGGAAAGTTTTTTTTTTTTTCTTTCAGACTCCTAAAAAATAAAACAGAACTTACTCTAGTTCCCAGATAAACAGACAGACTAATGCTAATGCTAATGGAAAAGAAGAAATAACTTACACTGTTTTCAAGTCTTATTTTAATAATCACATGAGTTAATTTACTAGAGACTAAACAATAAAATGAGATGCATGTTTGGGTGTGTATTATGGTCTCCATGGTGACCTTGGATTTGAAAACCTTTCAGAAGAGAGAGGTTACATTACAGCAGGGGCACTTAGCTGACTAATGCATTAATCTGACTTGGAGTTTTCAGTGAAATGATTCTCTTGAACTTGAAAGACGTGTTTTTTATTTTGCCTCTAACGCATGTGAACACAACCCGGTTTCATGGGGTTATGTCTGGGTGGCATCTGAGGCTGATTGCCCAGTGGAATAATACAATACAAATGCAACAGTAGGGCAGCTTCCTCTTCCTCTCTGCCACTGTCAGCTTTTCTGCAGTGCATGGATTAGAAAGCTCAAAGCACCTCCTTTGACTTGCTGGGAGCTGGATGGAGCCGCCGGGCCCCTCTGCTGGCACAAGCTCAGTCTATAAGGCAAAAGACTCATGGCTCTGTAGGATTTTATAGCCTTCTTTAGTTCATCCTTTCTT